ATCCCAGGCATTTTATTTTTTATTCTTGTTTCCTGTTTCTTCATCAGTTACGTACCTTCTTAAAAATGTTTAATAAAAATACAAAAAATTACAAAAAAAGTAAAGCTATATTTTAAAAAAGGCTGGGAAAAGAGAATTATTAAAAATATTGATTGGGACCTGGATGGCTCCGGTGATAAGCAGGAGGCAGCCTTCAGCAGCCAATATCAGCTGGGCCTCTCCTGTTGCCTCCTCACAAGCGAAGTGGATGGGGAAAAATGAAATGACATGGTATTTCCAGGGATGTCACCAGTGCCCGGCTGCCTGGGCAAATCCATCTCCCCCCAGCTGATTCGCTACCCCACCCGGCTGGGGCAAGGGTCCTTTGGACACACGGCAGCTTTCAAGCTAGAAAAGGCTGGTTTCGTTTAGTGGGATACCTCCGCTGTCTCCAGCCTGACACATATGGATTGTGGGACTACAACTCCCAGCAACGGAGTCTCACAGCCATGAGCAAAAAAGAGACCGCAAGGTCCAATTCATTTATCTGGGCTCCAACTGACCAGCTGTTCTTCCTTCCAGTAACTAGAACATAAATCAGAACAGTAACAATATAATCAATAAAAAGCAATAAATTCTTCACTGGGTTATCCATGATCACAGTAGTCATTGATCATCTTGACAGCCCTGCTGAAACTCATGGTTAACCCATGGTTAACCAATCATGGTTTATTACATTATTCTAATTGCCTGGATTGCACAGTTGGCTAAACCCGAAATTTAATGAATTTTTTGTGGCTGTGCTCAGAAAACAAACAAGTCACAAATCAGCCAAATTCTGGCTGAATGTGTTAGTCTGGTTTACACAACATGTTAAAAAAAAGGGGCCACGTTTAGGCCTAGTTTAGCATGTCATGTGAACTGAGCCACTGAGACATAAACTGGGTTTATATCACATGCTAACCAATTCACTAATTACACTTTCAGCATCTTGCATGAAACTGCTTCAGCTAAGGGAGAAGTTGAGACTGTTTTTCTTGCAGCTTCAAATTTTCTGGCACAAATGCAGGATAGAAAAAAAATCAGGAAAGGGCAAAAGTTATGCAGAATAATTTATTTGTGGCCAAATAATTACACACTGATAACTAATGGGTAAAACTCAACCGGTGCATTATATAAGGGTGAGAAGTTTGAACAATCTCAGTGCAATTTAAGCTTGGTTGCCTTTTTAATAAAAGGGCATATAATACCCATTAAATTGCTCTCCGCCCCTTTGTCTTCTCTCAGCAGCTTTTTATTATCTTGAGAACAATGATTGCAACCATTAAAGGCTAAATATTTAAATACACTTTAAACGCCTTTTTTTTTTAAAAAAAAAAGAAGGCACTTTACATGCTCTGCAATTACATATCCTTTAGGTGACTGTTTGCAGCTTGTGATCCTGGGTGTGCCCACTTTTGAGTAAAACAGCACACCAGCATGTGAACACTGCCACCTTATCTGCTGTGAGGTCACCAGATTTAGAGTGGGCTGGGGAGAAAATCTGAAAGGCTCAGCGTGAAAATGCAGCATTTAAGACAAGGCCCCCAGCCTGGGCACTCAAGAGGCAAGAAATATCTCAGCCAAAGGATGCCGGGCATTTTAAAGGGGCATTTGAATGGGGCAATTGGCCACCCATCTTGGGTGCAGCAACCAGGTGAATTCTGCAGGCCCCAAAACGTGACTTCTAAACACAGGCAGATGGCCAGGAGCGTCTTCAGGCTATGTCAGAAAAGTCAAGATGTGGCTACGACGGGTGATCAAAGCTCTACACATGTGCATTGTGCATCAAAAGCAGGTGGAGCTTTGATTGCACCGTCATGGTTGCGCCTCGACTTTTCTGATCTTGCCATGTGGACACCAAGCGCTGGGGGCCATAAAATGCAGTCCTGAGGGCCACGAAATTCAGCTCTCAGTTTGCCCAGCTCTGCAGCAAGTCCTACATAGTGTATCAAAATGGACACCAGGCTACCATGAAGTGGGACAAGGGGACCACATTGGATGGCTGCCAGTAAGCCAGCCAGCTGCGTTCGTGTCCCACAAAAATCCGCCTCCAGTGCCAAGGTTGAAATAAGGCACGTTTGCCTCGCGTGCCTCCCTAGTCTGGATTCTGACCCGCTCACATCTGATGCATTTTAGATGCCTCCGATTATCCTGGGCACTTCTTGAAGGTGTAAAGAGCGAGCGCCTCTTTCTTGCTTTGAAGGACCAAGCCTGCTGCCCACTCCAAGCCTCCTGGCTGGAAGTCTAGATAAAGTTTGACCTGGCCTGTTCTTAGCTACATCAACAATTCAAAACAGATAGTTTGGAATCCTTCTTCTGTTGTTTCTTTCCTTCTTTCGGTTTAGTTTGTTATTGCTTTTTCTGGTTGTTTTTTTAAGATGTTTTTCTTTGGTTTTTTTGCCCTGTGTTTGTTTGTTTTTAAAAACTTGTTAGAATACATAAATGTTTGGTGTTGGCCTAGAAAGCAGGAAACAGCGAGTTCTAGGCCTGCCTTAGGCATGAAAGCTGGCTGGGTGACTTTCGGCCAGTCTCAGCAGGACCCACCTTGCAAGGCTGTTGTTGC